AAGGACAACACAGAAGCTTAAAAAATAACTTCTGCCAAGACAACAGAAGAAAGCAACCTTTATCTGGGTGCCAAAAAGCCTATATGGGCATATTCATGCATAAGCAGAAGATGAGTTTAACTCAAGGTTTTTTTAAAATCTTAGTTTCATTTAAAATACACAGCAAGGGGTCTCAGTGGTTGCTCTCTAAATCCCATACTATTTTCCTCCACTTGCCTCTTTTCATTGAAATCACTCACAACACTTCTCACCTAACTTGATACATTGTGAAGCTTAGTAGACAATAATTATTCCTCTGCAATCAATGAAAAAAAAGCAAAACTTTTTGTTTTTTTCATTTTCTTTATGTATAGGCAAAGTAGAATAAAATATGGATTAAAAGTATAAGAATGAAAACATGGCATAAGAGGGACAGTTAGAAGCCTGCTTAAAGGAAATGTCATCAGCCTCTAACAACAAGATGTTCTAGCCAAAAATCCCTATGTCAAAAGTCCAAACCACAAGGTTCAGATAAAGTTCGTTAATGGCACATAGTCCATACCTATAACAAAAGGAGAAATAAGACCCTCATCTACTTATAAGGCTTTTCCCGCCAAAATGACCAATAAGAAATGAGTTACCTATTTCCGTGTTGCGATGCTTTTGAGAATGTATAAGAACGCGTGCTTTGATGGTGAAGGTTGTTCAGAATTTGCAATGTTAGCTATTTCGCTAACTTTCTGAACCTGGCTGCCAAATAAACATTTCCTGTATCCTGAGAAGTCTAAAGCCTGTCATTTTCTGCAACAGGACCAGTGGGAATGTAGATGCCGGGGAACAAAGTGGCATTTATGTAGCAGAAAGCTCCCTCCTGTATTACTTACTATATATAGAACATATATCTCTACATATGAATGCTAAACCACTGAAATATCTTGCACATAAAAGAATATGGCATTTATTATGGCCATAGCTTCTATGAAACAAAACACAGATCCAGAAACTACAACTAGGTTTGGAAATGACTTGTCTCAAACCTTGAAGACATTCCTGGAAAGCAGTGCCATTTTACTAAGAGATAGGAACAGGATAAGAGGAAAGGCCTCAACAATGACCCTTCCTCTTATCATTTCTCCACTGGACTATTGCAAGACACTTTATATGGAGCTACCTTTGAAGAGCATTCAAAAACTGCAACTGAGATAAATTGCAACAGCTCAATTACTGGCAGTTATTACTGCTAGTACTGTACCACATTGTACCTATGTTTTTGACTCTACATTAGTCACTAATAGGTTTCTGAATACAATTGTTCTGCTGATTTTGATCTATAAAGATCTATGTAGTCACCACAAAGTTACTTATAGAACACTTTCCATCTGAATCAGCTAATTTACCAAATTCTTCCTGAAAAAAAGTGGAGTCACACTTTACTTTTGGGAAGTAAGGAGGATGGTGGCAAGGTAGGGGACCTATTTCTCATCTGCTGCTCCAGGCCCACTCCTACTAACTAGGAAGTTCCTTCCAAAATTATTTTGGCTTCAAGTGCAGGGAAAGTTGGACAGCTGGTTTCTGCAGTGACACCTGTCTGCACAATGAATGACCAACACTTTTAAAAGTGCTTAGGAGACTGTTGATAAATGTTAGTTTAGTGCATTTTTGAAAGCGAGCCAGGCCTCTATGAAAAAAAACCAGTATAGAACAGTGTTTCTCAACCTTCACAACTTTTAAGCTGTGAGGACTTCAACTGCCAGAATTCCTCAGCTGGCATGCTTTAACTGATTTAAACTGGAAAAAGGGAACAAGGTTCTGCCAGTTTGTCTGTTGCTGATTCTGTTACCACTGGATGTACAGGTTTGTAATTGTTTCTGCTAATAAAAGCTTTCACATGGTCATGTTTTAATTTTTTCATTATCTGAGAGAGGCAAAATTTTGCCTCTGTGCCTCTGACATGCTAGTCAGTTAATATAAGAGGCATCTAAACAAGCCATTTCAAGTACTGATAATACTGGCACATTAATAGAGCATGTCTGAACTGTTTGATTAACCTAGATTTAAATATCACCCCTTGATGCAGCCTCTAATTTTAACTCAAACCAAGCTTATCTGTCACAGTTTTCTTATATTTAGCAGAGGGGGAGGTCTTTCTCACTAAATTTAACTGTTGGTGTCCTTATTCTATTAGGGAAGGCACGATGAGATTGTGTGTAACGCCATCCTCCATTTATTCTAGTTTTACAAATTCTCAGGCACATTTCTCTGCTATGATGGTAAGGAAGCCAAATATTAAATGCCTCTTATATCTAAGGTGCCCAGATTTTAACATTGGTAAAGCGGGGCACCATTGACTGGGGGGGGGGGAGGTTCTTGATTAAAATTTTTAAAAAATTGGGACTTTTTTAAAACGCTGCGGGATGCAGGACAAATTGTTAAAAATTGGGACTGTCCTGCCAAAAGCGGGACATCTGGTCACCTTACTTATATCTTATTCTCATTCTTCCAGTCAAAATGACCCAGACATAGTTACATAATCTATATGATGACAACCTTGAAGATTATGCTGTTCTACAACCACTAATGATTTGAGGGAAAAAGTGATCAGGGAGACAATATTTTGATCTATTCCCATTAAATTTTCTATCATTTAGTTTCTAGATCACCAAAAAAAGAATCTATATCATGTCAGAACCTAATTCAGGTAAGCTCGTAATTATTTCTACTATGAAATATTTTATTATTTTAGCTAGAATTACTTCCCTTGAACATTCAGGTAATTCCCTTGAATATTTCTCATAAAAGATATACGACATGTTGAATAATGAGATTTGTTTAAAATTATTTTATTTATCCCAGTGGTTTCATTTCTCTCAGTATTTCAAACTTCAGTATCAGATCCAATACATTATTTTTTCCACTGCTATAAATAACACAAAGTTTAAGTACAGGTAGTCCTCAACTTATGACCATAACTGAACCCAAACTTTCTGTTGCTAAGTGAGACGGTTAAGTGAGTTTTGCACCATTTTATGACCTTTGTCACAGTTGTTAAGTTAGCTTAATACGATTGTTAAGTAATTCTGGCTTCCCCACTCCAATCAGTGGGGACCTTTCAGAAGGTCCCAAAAGATTATCACACAAGTGTTAAGTGAATTGCTGCAGTTCTTAAATTAGTAACACTTAAGTGAATCTGGCTTTCCCATTTATTTTGCTTGTGAGAAGGTCGCAAAAAGGGATCATGTGACCCCGGGACACTGCAACCATCATAAGTATGAGTCAGTTGCCAAGCTCTGAATTTTGATTACACGACCATGGGGGATACTGCAACATTTGTGAGTGTGCAAAAAGCTCATAAGTCATTTTTTCCAGTGTCATTGTAACTTTGAATGGTCACTAAACAAATTGCTTTAAGTCAAGGACTACCTGTAATTGGACAACAATGGATTTGTAAAACACTTGTACAGAAAAAATAAGGACCAACAAAGTAACTGACAAAAATCAATTTGGGAAAGAAAAATGCAATTCAACTGTAGTTAGGCTTTTCTTTTTTAGTGAAGGAAACATTTGGGAAATAAACATTTCAACATCTGCCAGATAAACATTAATTGAGGAGCTTACATAGTTAGATATATAACACATGCAAAGTCATATACTAACAAAGATAAAAAACATAAAACAGGTCTGAGGAAAGCTGATTATTTAGCTTCTTTTTAATCAGGCTTTAGGCCCATCAACAATGCTGACACTGTTTGTGCTTATGAGTGACCTTTAGAGGAGGTGGAATAAATATGGTGCAGCTCTTCTAGACCTGCTCAATCTCTCTTCAGCTTTCAGTATCATTGACCATAGTATCATTGTAAATCAACTCCAGAGATTAGGAATGGGGAAACTATTACAATATCCTCCCCCTTCCTCTAGGCCTAGGGTTAGTTTTGGGAGGAAGGATCAAGCTTGAGATCCTTCTTCTGCAGGGTCCCACAAGACTCAAGACTCTCCCACATTTATTTAATATCTACATGAGCCACTGAATGAAGTCATCCATCAGCATAGATCATAGCCTCAGTATTGGATAGTATCCAGCTTTATGTTTCACACCTGTTTGCACAGGTGACGCTCTGGTGATCTTGTCCCAGTGCCAGAAGATATAAGGGAACTGGGGAGGAATAGGCTTACACAAATCCAAGTGGCTTTGGATTCAAAGACCTTCTATTTTCAAGAACAATTATTAGGTTTCAAGGATGATCCAGTCTCCAGTCTCGTGTCTAATTTGAGAGCCTTCCTGGACTCAGTTCTATGACCTGATGGTAGCCATGGCCAAGAGGACTTTTGCACTGATCCATAGTGTGTACTAAATATGATCTTTCGTGAAAGGAGGGGAGCAGAAAACAGAATAACAGAGTTGGAAGGGACTTTGGAGGTCTTCTATCTAGTTCAACCCTCTGCTTAGGAAGGAAACCCTACACAAGCTTCTCATGAGCACTCATAACTTAATCATCTATTTGAACACTAAAACAATCCATCCAGGGCTAACCTTGAAAACTATTCAGAAGCTATGACCACTTCTCATTTTGCTACCCAAAACCTCAACTTTGTGCCCTGGCTATCAGTGAGCTTTTAACTGCAGTTCAAAATGCCAATTGTCACCTGTACAAAAATTAATGACTTAAGAACTGCTTTCTTCCATTGTTTCTGTCCAATCAGTGACATCTTGTGGGACCTAGGAATCAGGCCTTTGTTGTTTGTACCTGTGCCATGGAAGATCTTCTCCCTTAAATCCACATGGCACTGACCACACTGTTTTCTCAAATCTTTAAATTCCTGCTTCTCGCAACAAGCTGTGGGTTGGATTGGATTATAATTAATATTGGATCTATGTCTTATGACTGGGACTGGATTGTTTTGTTTTTCGAATCTGCCATCCAATATTGTTTATTTTTATTATCATTCTGTTGTTTTTAATCCAAAATGTAAGCTACCTAGAGGTGCCTTTGTGATTGAAACAGACTACAACTTGATTGATTGAATTAATTAATTATCATATTACCCTTTTATTTAAGTACTGTATAACCAAATAGTTTAGATAAGCACATGCTACAGAAGATAGTGCTTTATGGATAAACAAATCTGATTGGGAATTCCAATCTACCAAACAAGTTTGTTCAGGAACAAGAAACTCTATTTCCTCACCTTCTCTCAGCTACAGATTTCTGAACCAGCTGAACAGCCGTTTTCAACACTCATTAACCATTGTATAAAAATAGACTATTGTAGGGTCTTCAAAATAAGGATGCAATAATAAAATAATTTCGTTGGCTCAGCCAGCCCTTTATTTTCAAAGGCTAGAGCGATTCTTTTTCCTCGCTCAAGAAAGATGGAGAATATTCCTGCATCCCCCTCAAAAGTGTAGAGTTAAGAGTTAGTTGCCATAGGGAGAGGGAAGCGTAAACACGCGGCACTTCTTCATAATCAGTTTCTTTGCTGAACTAACGGAACTGAGCCCCACCGCCAGTGACGGATTAAGGCTCACTGGTGCCCTAAACACTGACAAATCTTGGTGCCCCCCTCCCCTCCTTTGTACATACTGTACAAATCTTCATTGGTTTTTTTTTCTTTCTCAACTTTGTGGTGCTCCCTTTGGGCTTGGTGCCCTAAGCACGTGCTTAGTCTGCTTAATGATTAATAAACCACTGTCTACCGCCGAAGGCACGGGGCAAAATTGAATGTGCCGCGAAAATGATAGGGGCGAGGCTATACTCCACCCGCCGCCCACATTGCCACTGTCAGACAAAAGTACAGTTAGCCATAACCGCGCTGCAACAATCCGGACGACTATTAGGTGGCAATAAAGAACCACGACAACTGTGCTGCTGCCGCCTAGGAGTCGCCCAGGTGTCGTAGCCCTGGATTTTCAGACGCTGCGCGGCGGGCCTCCCCAACATTTCTTTCTCCCCGCCTTTGCAGATTCGGCGCAAGCCCTAGTGGTTCCTCAGGATTCCAGTCTGGAGGACACCCCTCTTCTGTTGCCATGGCAAGATTCCAAACAGCTGGGAACCCTGGCGATGATGTCCAGCCATCGCCGTCTCGCGTTGCAGCTCTCAGGTCAGTCGGGAGGGGATTGGCTAGAAGGCGTGCGCAACAAGCGTTTTTGCCCCCGCACTGTGGAGTGCCGTGGATCGGCTGGAGACCCGCGGGTCGTTCTTCCTCGGAGGAGACGTGCTAACGTGGAAGCAAGGGAAATCCGGGGATTTTTGCGATCCTACAAACTTTGTTTTTCTGGGTCGCCATGTCTCAGCTGTGGAGTCCGACCTTGGACAGTGGCACCCTGCGGATGCGAACACGGTTGGATTTTCAAAATTACCTGGATTCGGACTGGGAAGTGGGCTGTAAGTTAGCGCCAATTTAAAGTCAGAGCTCTGATCGAGGCAGACGCTTCAGTCAAGCGATTTGGGATTTTAGGATTAATTTCACTTAATTTACTATATTTTATTGCTAATGTAAAAGGAAGAGAAAGGCATTTCTGAAATTATTTGCCTCGGGTTCCAGAATAAATTTACATAAGCATAATTCTATGTAGACTTCTTTTAAAATAATACTATCTAAAGGGACTGTCGCAATAGTAAAGGAATATAGTTCCTCTGTTCAATCATTTACATATCAGCAAAATTATATGGATGTGAAACCCCTGCCTGCCAAATATGTATTAGCGGTGGAATTTCAAATTCCAATGTCACATTATTGGACCTTGAACAATATGTTTTCTTTCTTGGGAAATAGCATTGTTTATTTCAGTACAGACAATAGCAAAAAAAAAATCTACTTTAAGTTTTCCAGGATGTAATCACAAAACTAATAGGAGTTAATTCTGGAACAAGTAGATGAATTAGTACAGTACTCTAAACTTCCATGAAGTGTCCCTCTCTCTCATCAATATATTACCATCTTGTTAGTTAGAAGGTTTTAAGTCACTGCAGAGAAACATTATGGTAAGTCGGCCTTGGAATGTATGCTGAAATTATTTAATCCAAACCCCATTTACTGTAGCATTCCAAATTCCAACTGCAGCATTCCTGAGCAATGATTGCCCAGCCTCTGCTATTTTTCAAAAAGGAAAGTTTGCTTCTCATTGTTGAATTTCTGAGACAGGCAGTTGCCACCAAACAGGCAGTTGCTACCAAAAAGTGAGAGTGGTAAACAAAAAGCCAGTTTGCACATTTGTACAAAAAGTCCTTGACTTAGAATCATAACTGATCCTGCCAGTTGGTCTTAAGTTGTGATAGTTGTAAAGTGAGTCATGTGACCAATCCAGTTTTACAACCTTTTTGTGGTGGTCATTAAGCAAAAAACATGGTCATTAAATGAAACCATTGTTTGCTATGGGCAATTTTTTTGCCAGAAACTGGATGTGAATGCCAGGTTTTGGCAAAAATCCTAATCACATGAATGCAAGACACTGTAAATGGTTGTAAATGCAGGTCAGTTGCCAAGCACCCAAAATATGGTTACATGTTTGCAGGAGGACTTCCAAACTGTCAGGACTTCCAAAGCTGTCAGGACATCCAAACAGCATTGCAAGTACCTTTTTGTTGGGGAGTGTCCCTTATAACTTTGAATGGTTGCTAAGCAACTAAATTGAGGACAACCTGTATATAGGAACACATGGGATGAAAGAAAGCCAAATTTGAATCCAAAGACGGTATAATTTTGGGAATATATCTGAATGGTCCAAGATTGTTAAATATAATGGCTGTTGTGCATAACAACCCTGTATAATGTTAAGTTTGTGGGAAATTTCAACCAAGTTTCATTTCCCAAGTATAAGACTGATACTTGTACTATTAGAAAGTTTTTCTGTAATATTTAATTAAAAGTTTTTCTTTCCAGACCTTTAAAGGTTACCAGATACACACTCCCCCCACCCTCAAAATAATAACCAAATCAGCTGAAAGGACTTTAAAGGATGGATTCAGAATGGGTATAATAGATATAATTTGTAACACTTATGTTGTCATTTCTCATAACTCCTAGTGGATTTTTGGTGTTTATAGGGAGAGATAAGATTTTAGAGATGGGTTTACAGAAACTAAGAGAAGATATTGAAATAAAAAGATATTTGCTTTTAAGAGATAATGATAAGCTCTTAATGTTGATTATACTTGCTGGAGATGAGCAGAGTTTCCTTTTTTCTTTTTCTGCACTTTTTAAATTTTCTTTAATGTATCTCTTTATTTTGTATGAGTATAAATTTTATTTGTACAATACCATTTCTAATAAAATTATTGGGAAAATATAATAATCACCAAATTTCACTGTGGAGAGGGGGTAGAGGATTCAGTGTCTTTTATTGTCTCCATTATTGCAAATTGGCATATTTTGAGTATTATCTCAACCTGGCTAATATTGTAGCACAACATTTAAACATTCTTACCTTTCCCAGGCAGAGGCACAACCCTCCAATATTAGGGTAAGTATTCTAAAAGCCCATTAGCAAAGCATATGCAATTCCAGGAATATAAACACAACGGTATGTATACCGTATTTTCTAAAGTAATATTTGGAATAGCTGTAAACAAGGTTGACTCACCCTTCCATCCTGCTGAGGTCGGAAAAATGGGGACCTGGATTGTTGAGGGCAATGCGCTGACTCTGTGAACTGCTTAGAGAGGGCTATAAGCACTGTAAAGCGGTATATAAGTGTTGTGACTCAGCAGATGTCTTCTGTGAGTCTTTTCGGGATACAAGATTCATTATGCAGCTGGGGCTTGTTAGGGGAGGTTTGGAGATAAAAGGACAGATGCTGCCACACCCTAGTTGCAGCAGTCAACGTTCCTTCATGCGTACAACATTGCTTGTTACACTTGGATAAGTGCTTTGGTGTTTCCTGTAACCCTGATTTAAGGCTACACTTGGAGAAGTGCATTGCTTGTAAGAGTTGTTTTGTTTTCATTCCGTTATTTGGTCAGAGACTGTATTTATGTTATTTTTGGGCTCGAAGCCAGTTTGAACTGAGAACTGATAAAGAAAGTTCCTTTTAAGTTTATTTGTCTTGCCGTTTGTTAGCAAGCCGTGAAGGGGGGACAGAACATTTACCTATATTGCCTCTTATTTCAATCTATGTATTTTTGTGCTTATTCGCTCCGACTTCCCTTCCTTAAATCCAACCACTGATAAAATTGACTCCAAATCTCATACTACACTCTCTCTCCTTTATTTTTCAGTTCTAGCGTCAGTCTATCACATTCTGCACAGTCAAGTATTTTCTTTATTATTTCTC